AGAGAGAGCAGCCCCAACTGTTATCACAGGAACTTCTTGAGCTGAGTTCTCCAAAAACTGAAATATCCCCCAAGTGACAGTGTGTTTTGACTGCTAATAGAGTCATTTTTTCCAGTAGCAAGAGCGGCACCTTTCCACCCGACATGTGTTCTGCAGCTGGTCGTGAATCCATCCAGGATGAAGCTGTCACCACCCCTGCTTCCTCCCGAACAGGCATGAGGACTGCGGCTCTGTCTTTAGACTCCTTTCTCATCCTCAGGAAAAGCACAAGCCCCCGCTAAAGCAGGGGCTCCAGGCCACATTCCCTCTGCAGAGGGGGAACGTTCACTCGGCCATGGTGACCCCCGGCCCAGATGAGCCTCGTTCCTGGACGGCAGACATGGATGGTGCATCCGACGGCCAGCGGGAGGACGGGCCTCTGTCACGCACTTCACTTTGGAAACACACAGTCTATCCGTTCAGCGAAATAAAGCAAGCTCGTCCCTTCCAGGTAACAACACAGGATACACAACAGACAGAGCTGGAAAATTATTCAGTTTCTTTTCCGGAATCGCCCTGTTGCAGTCCGAGACCCTTGCCGAGTCCCCAGACCCCCGGCCAGTTTCCTCTGGTGCCCGTCTTCCCGCCTCAGTCCTCGGGTGCCGCATCCGCCAACCTGCCTGCTGAAATGGGAGCAGCAGGTGAGCTGACCCTGCAGGGCCCCCTGCCCGTCGCTGGTGACCCCCGAGGTTCAGCCAGGCTTCACGGGCCTTCGACCTGGAATCTGCCCAAGGCTGTGAGGCGACCGCGCCAGAACTGCCTGGAGAGCTGAGACCAGGTCGCTCCCCGCCTCCTGCCACGGGCCGGTCAGCAGACCCTGCAGGCTCCCCGCGTCCCACCACAAGCCCACCGCTGCTCTGGCCTGTGTTTCTCATCTGTGTCACAAGGCACAGATCAGGAGGAACCCCGACGTCCCTTTTACCTAAAACATCCTCCGATTCTCTCACGTTACGTCTTGGAGAAGATGTGAGTCCCTGTAGGCTTTGGCTTTTACCAGCTTTTACCAGGCATCCTGCTCACCTGCAGAGAGCACGGTTTCTTAGCAGCTGGACTGTGTGAGCACTTCCAAAGCATCCTCCTCAGTCTCGTTGAGAAAGCACAGCCTTCTTTCAAGCTCCAGGGCTCACCAGTCCCTCTAACATTTATTCCGGGCTCTCAGTCACAATGAAAGCACACTGGGCGCAAAACCGGTTTCGGGCACCTACACGCACAGCTGCCTGCCCACACTCACAGGTGCAGCCACCGCGTCCCAGGCGAGAACAGAGGATGTGACCACGGCAAGCAGGCCGGGCCGTCGGGAGAACCTGTGTGTGCAGCTGGTGCTGCCGCAAGGAGCCCCTCCTCCCCTGGGCCAGCAGCCTCCTTGTTCCGGGATTCCTCGTGCAGGTGCGGGCACCTGGGCCACTGGCCAAGCCCCTTGGGTGTCAGGAAGGCAGCGCTGACCCCGCAAGCTGCCATGAACTCGCTGAGCCCTTCTCATGGACCCAAAGGCTCCACCACGAGTTGAGTCGGGTGACAGTCAAGCTGCCGGCCCCGCCCGGCCCCGCCCGGCCCCGTGGCTGCCCCTTGCATGGCCCCCTTCTCCCCTCCAGCCCACCTGGCACCCACGCTGGTCCTCAGAGCCCCCTGACAAGCACCCAGGTGAGGTGTCCCCTCCTCCGAAGGCCGGGCTCTGCAGATGTCCCTGGGGCCTGGGCCTCACGTGGTGCTCCCGTCAGGGAGAAGCCTGGTCGGCCGTCCAGACGGCTGCGTTGCGTGGGCATCAGAGCAGGCGTCACTCCGATCTCCCAGGAGCGACGGCGTCGCACTTTGCAGAAGGACATGCCTGCCCCCTTCACCCGGAGGCTGGGCAGAGCTCACGGTCCGGGGTGGGTCTTGGCGTCCAGCTGTCCCGGTTCCCAGCCCTGGGCCCGCACCCGACAGTGTTTAAAGGCATCGTTCTCCAAACGGGAGATGCTAGGATTTAAAATCACGTGCGCTACTTAAGATGAGCCCAGAGGAAGAATGGAAGCCGAGCGCTGAGGCCAGAGCTTGGACTAGACAGGACGCAGCTGGTGCTGCTAAGATCCAAGGGAGACAAGCTGCTGAGCCCGGCCCATCACCTGCCAGGCAGTCATGAGTCAAACACCCCAGCAAAGAGAAGCTGAGGCTGAAAAGGCCCCCGGGCGGGTAGCAGACACGGCCGATCTCAGGGCAGGAGGGACGCGCAGCGCACGCAAGAGGCCATGGCCCCGGGGGCCACGGGGCAGGCGTCTCTGCGGGGCGCGGGGCGCAAAGCGTGTGCTTCCTCTAAAGGTGATCAAGCACATCCTCCCTGAAAGGAGAGACGCACACATGGGTTAGAAATACGCTACTTAAGGATAAGCTACCGAGAAAATGAGTGAGAAAAGGATTTTTCTGTCCTGCTCAATTTGACTAGATGACGTGGGCACGAAGACTGAACGTAACCACCAGTTTTCTCTGCGTGCTCTGAACGCAGGAAGTGTCTCCTGGGAACCACTGTTCACTCTTATCTGACGTCCACGCCCAAGTTCACTAATTAATGCCCAGGAAAGAACCACCCGTATAAGGAAACCCACTGCATCCACCTTTCAGGACAAACACGGGCCACGTCTGATGCAGACACAGACGCGTCATCAGCTACCTGACTTCATGAAGTTCTGTACCACCCTGTGCAGAACAGGCAGAGGAAATGCCCTTGAACTCCATCACAGGGTCACGTCTCCCTTTGTTGGTAACAAGAGGGGCGCACAGCGCAGCGCCAGGAAGCCCCACGGCGAGAACCAAAGGCAAACGGTCCTGGGATCTGCAGGGGTGCCGACACGCGGGCGGAAGGCTGTGCGGTCTGTACGCGGCCCATCCTGCCGGCTCCGCCCGCAATGCCGCAACAATGCTAGTAAGATTCCAAATCATCCTCTAAAACTGGAGCCACAAAATGTCCTTCTAAGTTCAAACTCTTCCTGATAATACGGGGTCACATCCACCCCTACGTGGACCCCGCATTGGAGGAGGCTGCTTCTCCTGGTGGCAGCAAACACGCCCTCAAGGTGGCCGGGGTTGAGGTGCCACTGCAGTTTGGTATTTCTGCCACCAAACGCTCAGATCCTACGGCCACAGACTCTTCTCCGTAATCCTTTCCCTGTATAGCATCAGGTACATCCATAACATCATGAAATTATTTAAAATACAAAAGAAACGAAGTTTTTAAATTATGCACGTATGTCATCCATTTTGCACAAGCAAGAAACACCCTGGCTGGCACAGCTATGCTGGTTCACGAAAATGTAATTCAGAAATTTGAGTATTTAGAGGGTTGTTGATACGACACTCAAACTGCACGTGCAATTTCCCCCTCGGTACCTGACGTGAACACATTTAAAATAACCAAGGAACCAGACTTCAAATAATCAACCTCATTTCCCACAGAAAGCAATAAAATAAATGAAATGCCATTGTCATGAATATATTGTCACAATTCTAAAAGATAAAAAGACTTCATTCCATTTTATTCCATTCAGAGCATCCTTAAGTTCCGGCAAATCCAATTTTGAAAGTATTACTTCCCAGCACTGGGATGAGTTGCCAATTATGGAACAATTGTTAATGCATTTCTGGGTAAAAAGTGATAACTGATTTGGTCTTAAATATATTCAATAATCTCTTATGCTGAGGAACGAGGACCATAAAATGGGTGCTGTGCAAGGAAAGAGAGCCCGTGGTCACACAGGGCGAAGCCATTAACACGGAATTCCGCTCCTTTTCAGCCAGCAGAGTGTTTAGAATGGAATCTGCTGACTTCCTTTCTCTGGGACCCACCAGGCTGCTCTGCTCAGCTGGACCTCGAGCTCCACCCGTTACAGTGAGATGAAGCCTGGGAGGCATGTGGGCTGGGGGCGTGCGCCGTCAGCTCTCCACAGGCTTTCTGGAAAGTAGCACAACTCCGCAAGGAATTCCTCTTTAACCAAAAATTCTGTTCCCCAAATCATTCCTTTCAGCAAATCAGAGTTCCTAAGGGCACCAAAATATCCTACAAGGAAAAGCCAACAGCAACCAAAATAGAGAAGACCTACAGTTTGTTCCACCAAATAGGGTGCCACAGCTATTTTTATGCCCTGTTGACCGTCACTGGATAAAGAAACTTGTTAATAGACGCCATAAGATGATACCTCAATTGACGAGAACTAAATGTCCAGATCTCTAAATCAGCCCAAATACCGTGCTGCATTGTACATTGGGGTGAAAATGTAGGTTTCATTAAAAATAGTTCATATATTTAGCCACATACAGGACTGGCTGAAACAAACAGTCATTTTCTGTTGCGTCTGGGTCGGTGCATTCAGCCACTGGGCTTACAAACGACCATAAAGCACGAGTCCTTCCCACTGAGTTACTGGAAAACATGAGGCTCAGGTTCTCTTACGCTTCCTATATTTTTCTTACTGAGCGGAAAGACTGTACATTTAACACAAGTTTTCAGTAGCTGAAAACAAACGTGGGCTGCAGGGGAGAGCAGCCTTCGTACACACTCCGCATTCTGCGCTTTGCGTTTTTCATTCAGTGACAAACACCAGCCACACGCTGGGACCGCCCCCCGCCCCGCCCCGCCCCGTGAAGATCTCAAAATGCGTGAGCGGGTGACGGGCTGGGCTCTAAGAGGGAAGCCGAGGTCATGCACTGGGCTACTCAGACCTTCGTCCCGTGCTCTAGTGGGCCAGGTGGACACGGTGAAGCCCGTGCGAGCTGCTGGCTCATCGCAGAGGCCAGAGCCCCGCCCCTACACCGCCTTCTATCAGAGCGAGCAGTGCGGTCGCCGCCCCCCACCCCCGGGAGGCCAGCCACTCCCCTCCGGGCCCCACCCGATGGGCATCGATCGGGGCTCTGGGGAGACAGCTGTCCTCCGAGCAGCTGGCCTCCCTCCCCTGCCCGGGTGGGCGCGTGCGCTTGCGCGGAAGCAGCCTCACCTGCCACCTTCGCAGCGTCCGCCGCCGTCACGTTCTGGGGGTTGGCGCGCACCCTGAAGGTCACCGCTGGTCCCGAGACCCTGGAAGAGACCGTTTAACAGGCGTGAGAACCGCTCAGCACACGGGCCTCCTCCCTGAACGCCACACGCGCCCTAGGCGCTGCTCCACCACACGCGACCTCCGCGGGGGTGGCTTTGCGGGGCCACTGTGACTCTGTTCCCAGATTCCAGGAATTCTATCCACAGGCTTCGCTTTTCTAACACACACACACGGCAGGGCTCTTACAAAAAATTCAAATCAACCCCAATATCCAACAATAACAAGCAGGTATTCTTGCAAGGGAAAAAGAAAAATTGTTTTGGAAACTGTTTTCAGTATTCTGTTCCCAAGGGAGCCGCAGGAACCAAAAGCAGAAAGGAAAGAGATGGGTATTTTTAAAATTCTCTTGAAAGGAACTGTTTAAGAAACTTATTGAAATCTTTAGAACTACTCAGTAAAAAAATAACTGGCAGGGGATTGCCAGACAGGAGTTGTCAAAAATTTTCAAAGCTGTGCTTCCCTGGTAGCGCAGTGGTTGAGAGAGTCCCGATGCAGGGGACACGGGTTCGAGCCCTGGTCCGGGAAGATACCACATGCCGCGGAGCGGCTGGGCCCCTGAGCCACAACTACTGAGCCTGCACGTCTGGAGCCTGTGCTCCGCAACAAGAGAGGCCGCGATAGTGAGAGGCCCGCGCACCGCGATGAAGAGTGGCCCCCGCTCGCCGCAACTGGAGAAAGCCCTCGCGCAGAAACGAAGACCCAACACAGCAAAAATAAATTAATAAATTAATAAATAAATAATTAAAAATGAATATCTGGTAAAAAAAATTTTTTCAAAGCTTTTTACATGCTGTGTTGCACATGACTTTGAAAAGTACATCCCCCTTTTAACAACGGATTCATCTGAAGGGGGGCAGGGAGGCCGCCTTCGTCAGGACTGTCCCAGCTCCGCATCTCCTGGGCCGTCATCTCCCAGACACAACCCCCAGGAGCTGGTGTCCAGGGAGCCGGAACGGCGTGGGCCGCTCGGGGGTGGCCCTTCCCATCACACGCGTGGTTTCCAGGGGCTCCTGGCCGTCAGGATGCCCCTGGCAAGGCAGCTGCTCTTCTTGGTGATCGGTGAGGTTCCCCACGACAGGCTCAGTGTCCAGTTCGACTGCCCTCCCCTGGTCCAGGGGCTGGGCCTTCCTCGCTGATGCCATGGAATCTTATCAGTATGCACAGATTCAACCACCGAATAACACCGCCGAGAACAAAACCACGTGCCTGCCATCTGCTGAGCCTCCGTGCACACAGGAGCTTCGCGTGTATCGTGCTTAATCTCTCCAGCAAAGCAGGCGCGGTCGCCTCCATTTACGACGAGGACCCTGAGGACCCAAGGGCTGTCCTCCCTTAAAGGGAGCCCAGCTGAGTCACAGGTGACGCCGCCCTGCACCTCCCCAGACGCTGCCAGGCCGCCCGTCACCTGCATGTTCTAACCTGGCCCTGCCCCCTGCCGGGCCTCCCACCCACTCCACGCCAATTCCAGCGTCTATGACAGGATCATTTCAAAGGCACTCCTAATAAGGGTGATGTAAGGAAAAGTGCACGAGAGTGAGACTCAAGTGAAAGGGGCCGGGCTTTGGAAGAGTTACGTGGAAAGGACAGCGACACTCTCGGAAACGGCAGAAACGCCGCTAGCAGGAACCAAATCACCGAGTCAGGCGTGTGCCACCTGCCACCTCCTCTGCATCCACTCTCCCCTCCCCTCCTTCCCGAGCGCGTCATCCAGAGGCCGGCCCGCTGCCCCGGGTCGTGGGAGCTCAGACCACGCCTCCACGAGCCTCAGGGCTTCTTGGCATTCAGGGGCCACCTCCACTCGTGACCCCTGGTCTCGCTCCGGTCCTGTCCCTCAGGCGGCCTCTGGCCCAGCTCCCTGGCCGGCCGGGCCCTCTGCAGACGGAACTGTGGAGCCCCCAGGGGTAGCATGGCCGTCGTTCCAGCACCTCTGCTGTCGGACGTTCCACCCAGGAGCCTGGGCCTCGCCGCAAGCGCAGCGAGCGCTCCTAAAGCAGCTCCTGCCGTGGCGCCCACAGCTCTGGTGGCTCGTCCAGCCACGGGGCCTCCCGGTCACCTCCCTGTACAAGAAACGTCACCACGTCCTGCAGCAGCGCCACCCTCCCTCTCCACCCCCGCTGTCGCGGCCGAGCCGAGTCTTCCCGGGTCCCGCCCCCCCGCGTGTGGCACCTGGAGGACCTGTCCGAACTTCCGCCCACGTCGCCTGTAGCATCCTCCGTGGACTCCCCAGGCCCCAGGGTCTGAGGGGACGCAGCAAACCTCTCCCCGGTCCCTGCTCGATGCTCCCGGGGTGGACAAGGGGGCCTCCCTGCCCCCTGGAGACTTCCTGCCGCGGTGTCTCCCCCCTCGCCGTGGAAATCGGGTTCCACCCCCTCTCAGTTCCAACCCCAGTTCCACAAACGCTCTGACAACCGTTGCTCTGGGACCTTCTAGCAAGTGCAGCGACTGCCTCATGTTTGTGCTTGAACTGAACGTTAATTACTGTACAGATCACTCGTGTGACGACGCTTCCCGCCGGCGCCTGACATGCGTGTGGATGGCGGGGCCACGTCTGGGACTGAGTCACGACGTCTAGTGCAACTGCTTCCAAAACTAGCAGAAAGTCCTTCCTAACACGAGCGTCCACACCCGCCATCAAAGAGTACCAACGGCAGATCCGCGCGGCGCGGCTCTGGGTTCACGTGTGGCTTCTGGGACGTGTCTAATCTAAACTACGTCTGCAGAGTTCCAGGCACGTGGGACCCCCCAAATCTAATCTTCCCTCCAGTGCCGACAGTTTTCTCTAAAGATCACACGGACGTCCCTGGATTCCCAAAGACGGAGCACACAGGGGTTGTTCACCTGCCCCAACACTTGCAGGACCAGCGGGAGAGGCCGACGGGGCACCAGGGCCCTCCTTCCTTCCGGGACGCCACACACATGTCCCTGGGATGCACACATGTGACCCCGGGATGCACAGCCGTGACCCTGGGACCGCCTAGCGTGGAAAGCACGCCCTGAATGGAGGGTCCGTGTTGCCGTCACCGACTCCCTACCTGACACCTGGTCTGTGACGGCCCAGCCCCTGTGCAGCCGAGCCCTGGCCCTGGCACCAGTGAGGGAAGGGTCACCCCGCTGCACGGGGCATATCCAACCCCTTATGGCCGAACACGACGTGAGCTCAGGTGCTCGCTCCCCAGCACCTGCTCTAATGACTGGGGATATGAAAGCCTCTGCACAGAGTCTCCACTGCACAGCCACGTCCTGTGTGACCATCTGTCACCCTGCTGAGCCTTTTAACCTCCGAGGCCTCAGTTTGCCCAGCTGTAAAACAGGGGCAGTTCTGGCAAGTCGCCAGGGAAACAAGACAAATAAGTACAATCTCTGCTCCAGGAAACTGAAACACGTCTTCCAGAATCCTCCAAACCTGCAGGGGTCCTCACATGGGGAGGGAGGTGTGGAGGGTCGGCGGTGGGCACGGGACAGGGGGGCCGCGTCCTCATCGGGCTTCTGCAGGGTCCAGCTGACCTGGCCTGTGCACAGGACCTCGTGAACACGTCAGGCTGTGAATTCCCGCTGCGTCTTCAGGAACCGCCCTTCATCAGCGCAGTTGACCACGCAGAAGGGAAATCACACCGCTTCCTGCCTCATGAGGACTCACGAAGGGGGACCCGAAGGGGGACCCGGGATGAGGCTGGCGCCTGCCTTCCCTGAGCTGGTCTGCACGCTCGGCTGAAGCCCCACTGGCTGGGAGTCTGCGAGGCCCTGCAGCACCGCCCACCTGACTAAGAGCCGCATCAATCAGCACTGCCTCCTCGGACAGCCATGATTAGATTATAAAATCACAACTGCGGTCATTGTGCGTCTGCCGGCATAATTACACCAGTATGCTGATGCCGTTTTAATGGCCTCTAATGATGTAATAAGAAATAATGAAATTTGCTTGACAGCTACATAACCATTAACAAAACATATTAAGCATAACTAGCGCTTCCATAAAAATGCGGACAATCCTGGAAGTGCCACTTTGTGGGGCAGATTCCTTTCCTCTCCTGCCACGATGACCAGCCCTGAGAACGTCGGCGGCACACAGATCCCAGTGCTGGCCACGCGGTCGTCCCCCCAGGTCAGTCCCTGCAGCTGGTGCGTGTCCTCACGTGCTGGGTCCTGAGGGCGACACACAGGACGTGCATGTGTGGCATGGGACACCACACACACACACCCCCCCCCCCCCCCGCGCACCCCCACACCTCAAAAAACACAAGGA